TTGCTCCTCCTCTGCTTACATCGTGATTGCTTACAACGACGCTACGGAGATGGGACAGGTGCCTCAACCTTGTCCCATGCTGGAGTGCCGTCGAAACCTCATTTCACTGCCTGTAGCCTGTGGCAGTAAAGTCTCCTGGCGAGGGGTTCAGAGGCTCCGAGACATTGCGACCGTCCCGAGGGAAAGGACGTGCCCCCCGGCCTAGTCGATTCGCAGCTTTTCTCAGCCGAGGCTGGAGTGTTTGAGTTTGCATGATGCCAATGGGAAGGGTGACGAGGACGGATGAGCCTCCGGCCTCCCGGTTTAGCTTCTGTAGACAGCCCACGTCTATCCTACCTTGGGTAGCTATCTACCTCCTCAGGACTCCTCAAGAGAACATGGACGCGTCCACCGACGAACGATGAAAGGAAATAAAAAAATTCAAATAAAAAACTTGATGAAGATCCGCTCCTGTCTGGTGCAACCCTTTCGGATTTTCGGACCCCTTCTGACATCTGACAGCGTGGGGTTCAACTCCCAACACAACAGACCAAATTGCTAGGTACTCTTGGTACCTACCTAGGTAGGTACTGTATCTAGGTACCTTGGGATTTTGGTGTATTCCCTCCTCGCTTTGGGCAGGTGCGAGGGACTACTTTAGGCGCTTGCTAGCTGCATGGCGAAGGCGCCTGTGTTCGGCACCTTGTGTGCTGTGGAGGTCGTCTCGCGCCATACCTTAGCTACCTTACCTACCTACCTAGTAGGTATCCATCTGCCAGCTCTCTCTCCCGCCCCCCACGGTCTGGTGTCAACGCTTCTCTGGTCGTCTTCCATGCTGCTCATCACATCCTTCCATCACGTTCCTCACCCTAGCTGCTTCTCGCTTCTCGCTTCTCGCTTCTCGCTTCTCGCTTCGGCGTTATCGTCTTTTCCAAGAGAACGCGAGGAGAGCCGCCTCTTCTTCTCTCGAGGGCGAGCACGTACAGAATTCCTGGGACCCCTACCGAGCGGAGGAGGCGGATCATACCTTCACCTAGCCCCCCAAGCCCCCCTCGAGACGAAGATTCCACGGCCCTTCTCCCGTTTCCATGCATGATCAACATGTTTCGCTGGCAATTGAATCTCCGCGCTTTTCCTAGCGTCATCGCTTCCGGTACTCGCAGTGTCGATCATCAGTCACCGAGCGTGGTTCTCCAACTTTCACCGAGATGATCCTCTACGCACGTACGAACCAAACGCAGGATCCGATGAGAGCACCTTGTTCTATCTATCCTTTGAAACCCCCCCACGTGCCCGGGATGTGGCCAGGAGCCCGACCCAGGCCCAGAAACGGCGGTGGGCGAGGGGGAGTATACCTTGTATACCAAGGTGAGGGGCGGGCCATGACTTGGACCTTTGGGGGGAACTCCTCAGGGTCCTCTTGTCTCAGCTGGCTGCGTAATGATATTGTCCTTTTTGATAGAGGCTTCAGCACCAAGGCAGTGGCTTCGCATGGCTGATGTGGGGGTGAATGGTTCGGTTCTGCAGTGGCTGCTTCGCTGGCTCCCCTCGTCGTTCCGTCATGGTTGACGACACCCTGCTCAAGGCTTGTTGGGGTGAGGGGACACGGGCGGGAAGGGAAGGGGAGGCGAGGCAAGGCGAAGGGGGGGGGGGGGGAAGAGACAAGACTCCAAATGTCATCAGTGGCAGCAAGGGTCGGGGAAGACATCCTGAGGAGCTTCCCTTGTCGGCAGACCAGGCAAGCACACCGCAACCACGTAGGCGAGCCCACGCGTTGATAGGACGGGCCGTCTTTATGTCGACCGACGGAGTCGGAGCACTCTCCCGCCCGCCCCTGCTTCATCGATAAACGCGTTCCAGCCGCAGGCATGGCGAAAACCAAAAAAACGCCCCCTCCGGCTTTTTTTCCCTCCCTTTCGCCCCCCCCCCCCCCCTATATGTGAAGCCTGTTCTTGGTCAAGCGTGGACCGGGAGCGCGACGAATGCCAAGACTGCGGGAGCTGCCACCAGCCTTATGGCTCGTGGGTCTCGTCTCTGGGAGGGGCAGTGGGGGGGGGGAACTATGTTACCGCAGGACGACGGAGCTTGCCATCGTAGCCTTCACCAGTGTACATGTAGCTTTCAAGTCCAACGTTGCGATTCAGGCCAGCCTGTTCCCTCCCTGCAGGCCGAGCTGACCGGCATGTCGAAATACTCGTCCCCCTCCCCCCTCCCCCAAAAGCCTGAGGACGGCAAGTCTGACATCCTTTTGAGAGGGTTACAGTGACCGAGCAACCACGAGGCGGCCTGCGTCATGGGCCAAGTCAAGTCACATTCGATGGAAAACCACACGGTGCCTCGTTGCAAGGCCGCTGGCTTACTTTCAGCCGCCCCCATGCCGCGTTTGCGGAAGTGATAGTCTAGCTACCTTACTTAGTAACAAGTAACGTACCTCAGCATGTAACGCACGCAGATATATGTTCCAAAAGACATAGAAACGACGCTGTCCCTGTCGCGTCCCCCTCCTCCCCCCTTCTTTCCCCGCCATGTAACACACGCCGTAAACCCGGCTCCAGGCATTCCGCCCGCAACGAACAAGCTCGCGACGGCCAATCACTCGAACCGAAAGAGGAAAATAAAAGGACAGAAATCCCTACTGGTAATGCAAGCCCCTGGCCCTGGCCTCCATTCTTCCTACGAGAGCCGACGGACGCCGCTTGCAGGAAGGACGCCGGCTACGCACCCCCCCAACCTCGGGTTGTAGCATACATGTACACGATGCCGCGAGACGCAGCGGCGTGGCCTGCGGAACCCCCCCGCGCCGGCCGGTCCGAA